AATGGATGACACACATAAATCGAGAAATGGTCAAAAAAGAAAAATTAAAAAAAATCGAGAAATGGTCAAAAAAAAAAATAAAAAAAAAATGAGGTGAAGGGTTGTGAATGCTGGTTGGGCGCTGGAGGGTGTACGATGGGGTCAAGTGGGTAAGCATGGCAGTGGTCACAGAAAAACTGTGCAAAACACATCCCTATTACATACAAGAAATAATGTCATATTTGACTTTCAATCTTGAAATAATGGGAATGGGGAAATAATGGGGGATGGAGAAATAATGGGGTCAAGTGGGATGCACTCCTTTTTTTTTATTTTAAATAAGCAAGCTATATTCTTCTCTCATCTATCTCATCTTCTTGGTAGTATGCATCTATCTCATCCTCTCGCTTGTCTCTCCCTAGCCCACGGGGTAGGTTGGCACCACAGCAGTGGTGCGAGAGCAAGGCTGTACCAGTCCCTCATCACGGTGACGAGGGGTGGGCAGGCACTGCCGATGGGGGAAATCGGCGGTGCTAGCATTCTGCAATATGAAGACATCATCGCACCAAAGTAACTACAGTTGCGGATGGCAGACAATAGCTCACCACAAGGACTGCACAGGAAAGGATTGGGCTCATATTGTACAAGGAATGTGGAGTATTGAAGTACGATCGCGAACGTAGCATACGGATGTACATGGAATGATAGAGTATAATAGTATATGGCAATATGCAGGTTAACAGATAAAATATGTGATATTAGGGGAAGGCGCACAGGTGGAATGGGTACTAGGTGGAAGGGGTAGGAAGCAGTAGGGACGATGTTGGTGGGGTGACGAGGGGGGGGCCAAGGCAACACGGAGAATACGGTGGACAATGTTGGATAATGCAACGATGGCGACGGTGAGGGAAGCCACGACTGGGTACCTATGGGAGTCGCCCGACCGCTTGCTACCATGGGGACTCCCTTTACCCTATACACGGGGTTATAATAGGACATGGACGGGGCATATTCACGACCGCCATTCATTGATTGTATCATGCTTGCCGGTGATAAGCAACCGGACTGGTGCCCCCCAGAATAGAAGGGGCCGTGTGTATGAAAAACAATGGCTGTACTTGGAACAGGATCTGTTCTGTAGGTCGTTTACTTTCCTGTATCTACGAGTACAGATGACTCATTCAACCTGGATGACGAGCGGAGACCTCCATTCCAGGGGGGAAGGTGGGGGGGGAGCCTGGGAGGAGGAACAGACAAAAAAAAGAAAAAAAGGAGGAAAGAAGACATACCATAAACATAAAGCATATGCTGCGATAGAAGTGATCGCTCGACCTGCGGAAAACAAGAGGACGAAAAAAGAAAAAAGAAAAAAAAGAAAAAAGAAAAAGAAAGGGAGGAGGACGTAAAAGGAAGGTTTAAAGTCTAAACATCTCGACGCACTGCCTAGAGTTCCATGGATGGTCTCATCTTGAAAAAAGGAAAAGAGGATGCCGATGCTCTCAAGCATGTGAGTCAGGAAAGTAGGAGTAATGTGATGAGGATCAAGTAACTGAGTTAGGCTGATCTTTTTCTGTGACAAAAGAAAATGCAAAGTGAACTTGATCTTCATCACATTTCTGCTGTTCTTTTCCATGCAATGCCCCTTTTAGTTCTGGAGAGAGCAATGGAGAAGGAAAAACCAAGTTCTATGCAACTCACCCCACCCTGTACCAATCCCGCTTAACCATAGCCATCCCGCGTGGTGGAAAAGGGTCTGGGAACTTGGATGGCGGGGTCGTATAGGAAAATGGGGACCGTACACGTGCAGTTCACCTCTCTTTCCCTCTCCCCCCCCCCAATACAGGTCCAGTCCTTAAGTTGTTGTTGTTAGGTTTCGATCTCAAGATTGAGATCGGTCTTCGAGCACGCAGCATTGTAGCCATCGCAGTGTTCGCTAGCGCCACTGTCTACCCCTATACCCAACTCCCCCCGAACGCGAACAGGGTGCTTGTGGCATACTGCGTAGCCACACGGGCCCTGCAGGGCTTGTCCCGGACATTCAGCCTAAAAGCCTAAAACTTAGGGCTTACTGCCCCGTTCGTTTCAGCCTGGATGCTGAAAAACGAGGGCCTGCAGGCCCTACCCCGTTTCAGCCTATTTCTGGGTCTTTTCAGACCCAGAGTTTTCAGCCTGAAACGGAGGGCCATTTTCAGGCCCTCATTGTTTCGACCTGCCCCTAAGACTCAGGCACGTAAACAGGGATGCGGAACAGGCCAGAAATAGCCTGTTCCTCACGAGTTTGAGCAGGAGCTGCAGCTGCAGCCCCTGCCTCCCTTCGGCAGGCTCAGGAGGCACACCCGTAGTACATAGGAAGTTCCCGTGCACTTCACAGGTAGGTAGCTCAGTAGGCACGAGGTAGTCTTCAGGATTCGGCCGCAGCACTCAGGAGGAGCGCTGCAGTAGTCTCCAGCGCTAAGTAGTAGTAGCGGTAGCTGTAGTCTTCGGCGCTGGGCGCCATAGCTGTAGCTGTAGTCTTCAGCGCTGGGCGCTGGTAGGTGGTAGATCGTAGAGTGGGAGAGAGACTGGTGGAGGCCAGTGTTACTTACCTGTGGCGCCATCGCTCCAGCTCCATCTTCGTGGTACCTGCATCAAGGCGCCAACTTCACAGGTTAGTACTGGACACAAAGAGAGAGAGAGTTCTTCTTCTTCGCCTTCTAAGTCCACCTTCTCTCCTCACCCTCTTGCCACCTGACTTCTCAGACTATGACAGAGAGGGACAGAGTTGCGACTTGAGACTTGACGACATTGGATCCAGACTTGACATTTGGGATTCAGACATTTCGACGAGGGACTATTTGGGCTTATGCCGAAGACTTGGTGTTGACGACATCCCCATCTTCCCCCTCCTCTTCGTCTATCCCCTTCCTCTTCGTCTGTGTATGGTATGGGCTGGCGCTGTCTTCCTGTGTGAAGCGCCAGGCCCATTCACACCATGTAACGATGATGATAATGTATGTTCAGGGCTGCATTACAACATTGATTGTTCGGATCACTGGTATCTGAGTCTTCCACTGTGTTATCTTGTACTTTGTATTGAAAGGTCGGTTCTTGTTCTGGTCTGCACGTTACAGTATGCAACAGTTAGGTATCGGAGCGGACCTCTCATTCAGAGGACCCGCTCAATCAAGTAGCCAGCTTGCGATCTATTGATCACTCATTAGTAACGCAAGTAGGACTTAGTCAAATCTCTGAATTTTTTTTCGCAACAACTATCTGAAAATTTCTGATATTCGCATTTCGTTCTATCTGAAAAATTCTGATATTAGTAGTTCGTTTTTACGTGACAAATATCTGAAAATTTCTGATAAATCGCATTTCGTT